TCGGGGGTGCTCCCAGCAGCCATTTTGCCGGTGCGAGGAGCAGGGGAGGGGCTGAAGGGCTGCTGGTGGGGTTGGGGGAAGTTGGGGTTGCCCTGGCCAGGGACCCAGGGAACAACCCGCATGGGATGGTCCGTGTTGCTGGGCTGCACTGGGATTGCTTTGGCTCCAGTTCAGACTCCAGTGCTGATGCAACTGTTCTCTTATTTAGCCTGATCTTACATCAACTCCCAACTTTGTTGTGGAAGTAATAAAAGATGATACAAAGCAGACCCTCGTTCTTGACTGCCATTACCCCGAGGATGAGGTGGGTATCAAACCAGTGGTGTGTGAGCCCTGGGCTGTGCCTCGCTGCGCATTTCCCGCTTCGCTGTCGCGTAATCCTGCCGCTGTTGAATCTGCCTGCTCTTTGTAGTCTGATGGTTTTCTGAATCTGCAGAAAATGCTGTCTCCTCTTACCTCTCTTTTTTTTAACACCAAAAAAAAAGACTTTGTGTTCGCACGGACACGCTTTGGGGAGGAGATGTTCCGCTGCATCCCTCACATCCTGACCTGGCACTGCTGAGCGGCCGCGTGTTGGCCAGGCTGTTGAATTACATTGGAGCAGGGAAGCATGGCTTCACTGTACCGGCACGGCAGCTTGAGAGGGGTAAATGAGAACGGCCAAAACCAGGCAGACTTTATACAGTGTCAGTACCTTGCAGATCTCGTTGTTGTGAGGTTTCACAAAGAGAAATAGAGATTTAAAAAAAGGGGGGGGCGGATAAATTTGAGAACTTTGCTTCAGACTGATCTTTGTGGTTTAGTTTGTAAACCTGAACAGATGATTTGTGCGGCCAGTCCTAGCTGACAAAGGTTAGACAGACGTGGGAAGACAGATTTAGAACCACCCAGAGGAGGTTTTTCTTCATAAAAATCAAGCTGCTGACCTGACCTCTTCGGGAATTTCCTGCGTTGCCGTGCTTCTCTTCGCAGGCACGCGCTGGGAGGGAAGAGGTGCGGCTTCAGCACCAGCCTTGGGTTTTTGCCTGCAGTGCCGTATTCCTGGCTTCGGGATGAGATGGCTGAAGGGGCCCTGCAGTTAGAGCGAATTGTGTGTCTTACATCTCACCTCCTGTTTCAGGTTGGACACGAGGGAGAGGAAGAAAGCGACATTTTCACAATCCGGGAGGTCAGTTTTCAGCCCACCGGAGAATCGGACTGGAAGGACACCAACTACACCCTCAATACGGATTCCCTTGACTGGGTGAGTGCTGCCGACGCCCGGGGCCGCGGGCGGCAGAGGGCACGTCAGCGCGTCTCGCCTGGCTGTCCGATGGCTCTGGAATGATGGGGGAGTCCTGTCCCGGGTGCCTGGGACGGGGAGTCCCCTGCTCGCCGCAGTGTGCCGCGCAGTGGTGGTTCTGCTGCAGACTGGGGGCTGTTGCCCAGTCCCGGCATTGCCGGCAGGCAGAGCCCGACGGGCTGGAACTCGTTCTGTTCCGGGCTTTGCAAGCGGATTTCCTAGCAGCTCTGTCACACTTATGAGGTGCTTTAACACTTGCTCAGACATCTTTTCATCTGTGCGTTAATTAACAGCGTAGCTTATCAGATACCACATGTAGAGATGCCTTTGTTTCCTGGGTTTTCCAGGTATGTTTTTACAGTTGTGACACTAAACTCAGGATCTGGCACCTGCTTATCTGCTCTCAGTGCCAGGCTTTCAGCAGGGCAAATCTTAGTTGGAGGCTGTGCGTCATGTGGTTAAAACTTTACTCCTCGAGGGTGTATCTCTTGGGGAAGCACTCGTGTTAGAATGGGTTAGTGTGCTCTAGGACATCCCACACTGCTTTTTCTTTTCCTCTCTCGAGACAGAAAATTAATTTAAAAATGTGTATGATTTGTGATCCATTCGGATTACAGAAGTCCAGAATTAAACATTTGTTCAGTAATATTGGTCTGTTTAAAAAAACCAACCCACGAAGAAAGGCCTGACAGCTGTTGGCATTGCTGCCCTAAGCAGCAGG